TGTTCGAGTGCTCCATGCTGATCTTCGAGGATCCTGAAGGCACCCAGGTGCGGATGTTCGGCAGGACGAGTTGTCGCATGCATTGCGCGCAGAACACCGGCCACGATGCCTCGGACAACCGAAGGCGGCGGGCTACGCTGCGCCAGTTCGGTCAGCAGCGGCCACCAACTTTTGCCCTGGGCGATGTCAGCGCCAAGATCGGCCGTCAAGTCATCTCTCCTTGCAATTTGTCAATGGAGGTCGGCAGCTGCCATCCTGAACAGTGCGCGCCAGAGTGAAACGGCTTTTTCTTGAAGCCGCGCGTCACTCGCGCGAAGGAAGGCGCACCTACGCGAGCACAGGTCACGCAGAGCATCGGTTTGATCATTTTGCTTCGCGCACCTTCCCTTTGCGCGTTGGCAGGATGCTGGGCAGACACCAGTTTCGACGCCCGTGCTGCAGCGGGCGACCACCCCATGTGCGGCTGTCGTTCAGGGCGCGATCGAGCGATAGTACCAGCGTTCGAAGGGCCCGCTCATCTTTGACAGAAAGACGCTCGCCGACGATGTAATCCAGCACAGATGCCAGCACATTGTCCCGCCATGCCATCATTGGACACCGGCGCTAGCCTTGCGCCATCAATCCACTGAAGAGTTCATCGTGAAAGCGGCGCAGACATGTCTTGACCAACCAAGAGGCACATTGGTGCTCCAACCATGGCGCGGATCCGACTTTGTCCGACACGGTTGCGCATCTTCACGACGATGTGTTTCACTTGGCCTCGCAGCTACCATGGGCGAGTACGGGAGGCAAACTAACGCTCGCCTGCTACACCATCAAGTCTGACTGCCTGACTCTGCCATGCACCGCGACACCTTCACGGCGCACCTCCGGATTTCTGGAGGTTGCATGTGTCAGGATGACCCGTCAGGATGATTGAGTTAGCCATGGTAGAGACTCTCCTTGTGAATGGTTCGTGTTCTGTCGAATCCCTCGGTGCGGTGGTCGTCCTGGCAGGGCAGCCAAGCAATTGCTCCTGCGCGACCGACATGGCAAGCCGATTGAGGACGAGCTGGCTGAGGCGAATGCAATCATCTAGCACTTTGCAGAGTTGGAGGTCGGGGAGCTGATGTTTCCGATTCAGCGGCAGGATCTGCGCCGCACTAGAGTTGCACCACAACCCAGCCGATACCCGTCTTGGCTGCCGAATCCCCCCTTATCTTGGAATCTCATTCGTGACATGCTTGGGCAAGCCAAGCGTCGCAAGGCGCCTGTCCAAGTTGGAATCAGTGGTGATTTATTGAGCCGCCAGCTTTTGGTTGGCCTCATCGACTCCATGCGCCCCCGATGTTGAAGGCCGCCGTGCACCAGGAAGCGTCGGCCAGGAAACGCGGCACCGTGCTCGCCTAGTTACAGGGATGCGACAGCCAGGACTATGTTGAACCTTATAGGTCGATCTTGCTAAACGGCGTTGTGAGCAAGGTGTGGCAAATATTTCTACGCAATTAGCGCGCGACCTACATGGGCGTGGTGTTGCGGCCGGCTTAATGTGGAGGGCGCCAAAATAGGGGGCTTGGACCTTTTGGTCAGCTTGCTTCTTCTTTCATGCACGTCCGCCAGCATCGCAATCGGTTCGCGCTCCTCTACGCAGTCGATCTGAAGGCTGCGTTACACTATGCCATCCGAACATTGGTCCTGCCTTCGCAGTGGTATCAGCAAGACCAAGGCTACGTTCTCAACGAGCATGCGGTGTCATTTTTGTTGGCATGGTGGCAGGCCTTGCACATGCCCAACACAGACCCTTACCTGCGTTCCCGCGTTATCGAAGGCCACAGTCGCACGTTCGTCGTTATGGCAGCTCGCAGTACGAGAGCTCGGTCGAGAAGGAGCACAAGGCCAGGCAGCTTGCTCGCGGATGCTATATTAAACCCATCGTTTTGGCGACCATTGGAGGCAAGTTCGACGCAGGTGGCTAGGATATCAATTTCCTTGCCGCTGCAGCCTTTTGGCATGTTGCAGCAGTTGCCGGGCGGCCGCGACCCCGTCGAGTTGTGCGTCGACGGTGCCCTGTTTATGCTGTCACCACCACTCCCCTCCCAGGCTGCTGGGTACCGCGAGGGCTTTACTGGGCACCGTTCATGAGACTACGCTGTGCCACGCCTATACGGCGAATTGCAAAACCATTCAAAACAGTCGGTTAGTGTTTCCTCGCGGAGGTGGGGGTCGGCAGTTGAGGCAGCAGCTGGAGGCCGACGTGTAAGGTGCATGCGTGCACCTTACGAGGTCTTACTCATATCTTGAATTTGTTGGAGCAAAACGCCTCGTTGAGACACCGTCTCTCGGCCCTCTGCGACCAGCAGCACGCGATTCCTCGCCTTTGATGGCGCGCGCAGGCGTCTGGACCATTCCACGTTGCGGGCAAAGACCGATACCTCGGACGCTTTGGCGAACGTTCACTTAGCGTACTCGCGCGAGACAGGAGGGGGGGCTTTCAGTTATGGCCAAGATAGAAGCCACGGGTCTCTGGTCATCGAACCTCCCATCGGTTTTCGCATCACTCTGAGACGACATATTTCGCGAATGACTTGGAGGTCATGGTGTCAGCAGACCGCCCATATTTGTTCCATACATTTTGCGGAAGCGTCGGCGACCCAATTTCATGCACCCGTCGCGCTGTATGTTCTGTTTAAGCAGTTGGCGAATTCCCTTGCCCCATGGCTTTCAATGATTTGGGCAGTCCTGCGATGGCTTGCTATGGCGGGCGGGGCTCCGGCGGGAATGAGCACCTGGACCACTACCAGTTGGTTCCAGATTGCGTGAGGCTGGCCTCGCGACAACTGCAATCTGGCGCAGCGGACGTGGCAATGCTGGGCGGACACTGTGCCGCTGAAAGTTCACTCGGACGCAGTTGTTGGGGCACCTCAGCCTACCGAGGAGGACCTGTGCATCCGCTGCGAGTGCGGCCATCTGCTTCGTGCAAATACGGCCTGGCGCCGCCATTGGTTCCAGCATGACCATTTGGACGGCGCGCAGCTGCTGGGCCCGCGGAGGGCGCTTCTTCTTCTTTTTCTTCTTATTATTATTCTTCTTTGGGGCAGGCTGAATTCCTGATCGTTGATCTGCAGATTCTGGCGGTAACTCTCGAGCCATGCCTTTACTCGTGGAATTCCGTTTGCGGCGTCTCCGGTCCCGGCTTGCCTGGCCACCGTCTTGATGATGCCCGCGGTGCAGTTGCATGTTCAAACTTGTTAGATTCCATGTTGTGAGTCGTGGTAATTATTGTCTTCGAGTATTGTTGCTTGTCTTGACAGTCTTTCCCTGGAAGGTCGGTCAGCGACTTCGACCTCTACTACCTAAAGTACAGGCTGCCCTTCCGGACGATTGAGTCCAACTGCGACGAGTGGATCTTGTTTGCTGAGTGCGGCGGCCATCGGCCCTGGCGGAGCTTCGACGCGGTGGCCAACGGGTGCGCCTGGAACCAAATGTCGCACTTGGTGGCTGACACTGGTAGGCGAGGTTCGTGGCCTGACGGCCTCGCAAGCAGGCTAGCTCGCGTGCTGGTGGAGACCAGCCTCCAGTCGCGACGCCTTGCCGCGTCATCGCAGTGGCTATCCTTCCTTATTGTTTCTCTCCGCTCCATCTTGCTGCGCAAATGGACGTCATCCTGCTCGCTGCCCGTGGCCGATGTCCGATTGCATTCGCCCCGGCGGAATGCAAGGTGCAGTCGCGGAGCCGGGCCCATGCTGGACTTGCCCGCCTTTCGGTTCGCAGCTCGCATTTCGGTTTCCAGCCAGCCGGGGGCATCGAGTGCCCGCGGGGGCGAAGGCGGCAATAGGCGAAACAAGCCACGAGCGCCTCCCTGCGGGAACTCCTTCCCACAGGGCTCCAGGCCGCGCTCAGGCTCGGCGCCAAATCGCACCCCTCTGCCCATAATTCGCAATCTGGTCAACATTCTCCTGCGTGACTTATCCTCTTCCTTGCTGCTCATCCTGTCTCTCCACTTGCTCGGGAGCTTGTTCGCGGTGGGCAGCCGCGCTTATTCAGTACCTTCTGATATTGCCAGTCGCTTCCGTCTCTGCGCGGCGCGCCTAATGTGCCGCCAGGGTCGCCGCGCTTTGTGCCAGCCTGCTGCACGGCATCGCGGGCGCCGTCGCCCACGTTGTGCGTTCCACCTGTTCTCTCTCCAGGTTGATTGGGTGAGACCTGCATGCTTGGTGGAGGGGGGTCCCATTATCTTAGGAGGCAACTACTGGGCACTTGGGAGCTGTTACGCCAGAGTGGGCCTCGGACTAAGCAGGATTAAGCCGGATTAAACGGGATTAAGCGGAACTAAGCCAGATTAAGCGGGACGAAGCCGGATTAAGCCCGACTTCGGACCAGGGCAAACTCAGAATTTGACCTCCCAGAGGTTGCATCCGAAATCATCGCTGCCCTCTGCGTCCGCCGCCCGCCTGCCCTGCCCTGCTGCTCCTGCTGCCTCTCCCGCGCTGTCTTTGGCCTGCGCAGGGTGAGCGGGCGGGCCGTGAGGCCCGCTGCTGGCGTGAGGCCTCGGGCGCTCGTCCTCGCGGCAGGGCCAAGACGAGGAGCAGGCGGCACGGCAGGCGGGAGGAGGAGGAGGAGGAGGAGGAGGAGCAGGGGGAGGAGGAGGAGGAGGAGGAGGAGGAGGAGGAGGAGAGGAGCAGGAGCAGGAGAGCAGGAGCAGGAGCAGGAGCAGGAGCAGGAGCAGGAGCAGCAGGAGCAGAGCAGGAGGAGGAGGAGGAGCAGGAGGAATAACAGGAGGAAGAACAGGGGCTGAACCAGGAGAAGGAGTCGGAGATGGAGTCGGAAGAGGAGTCGGAGGAGGAGAGGGAGGAGGAGAAGGAGAGGAGAGGAGGAGGAGGAGGAGGAGGAGGAGGAAGGAGGAGGAGGAGGAGGAGGAGGAGGAGGAGGAGGAGGAGGAACAGGCGGAGGAGGAGGAGGAGGAGGAGGAGAGGAGGAGCAGGCGGAGGAGGAGGCGGAGGAGCCAGCGCCGCGGCCGCTAGGCGCTGTCCGCGGCCTCGGCGCCTGGCGGCTTCGGGGCCTTCGCGCCCGCCGCGGCGGCGCCCACGCCCGGCGGCTTCGGGGCCTTCGGGGGGCCGCCCACGGCCGCGGGAACCGCCCCGCGGGGGGGCCGCCCCCACTGCTGCCCGATGCGATGCGATGGGATGCCCAAAATTTTGGTGTCGAGCCAAGGCAAGCCTCGCTGCCATGCTTGGTTAATATGTCCTCTGGTGTGATGTGGTCTGATCACAACGAAAACTGCCACGACACTAGGTCCAGTCGGCTTGGCTGCTGGATTTTGTCTGGTAGCCTTTAGCCGGCTCGCAAGATAACATACACGTCACACATGAACTTGGAAAATGTGTATGCCCAGACATCGAAGAAGAAACACACACATATGAACATAATGAATTTTGGCGCTCCGCGCGGATTTCTTGGATCCGCGCCTGGGTCCCCTGGCGGCGCCCCCGGCGCCACTCCTGGCGCGCTCCGCGCGCCAGGGAGGGGGTCAGCGCGGATCCAAGGAGTCCGCGCGGAGCGCCAAAAGTTTATGTTTTTTGTTGTTGTCTTCTTCTAAGACATGCGTGCTCATGCTCAGCCACGCGCAGAGGGGGGTGGGGAGAGAGGGGAGGGCTTCTCAGATTCTTAGCAGGCGCAGGCCTCATCTACAGATGTAAGGCTGGCGACTTCTAAGAAGCAGCCTCCTTCTAAGAAGCCAGGCAGGTTCCTTCTAAGAAGCCCTCCCCCCTCCCTCCACCCCCTTGTGCGCGCCGCCAACTCATGCCGTGAAGAAATCACGACGGGAGGTTGTGGGCTATTTGGGGCTTCCGGGGGCCCTCGCCAGGCCTCGGGGCCGTTGAAAGTCGGCCCGGGAAGAAGATCCCGGCCTGCGGGAAGGGTCGGGGCTTCAGAGACCCCGTATGGAACAAAACAATGCATCCTAAGTTTGGGTTTGCCAGCGTCCCTTTACTGGACGGGGCTAGGACGAGGATAAATCCGTTTCAGAGCGTTTCGGAACGCTCTCAGAGCCTTCTGGAGCGCTCTGAGAAGGCCGCGGCGCCCGAGACATCCTCCAGGACGTCCGGATCTCAGAGATTCTCGGTTTACCCGACTTTCTCCTCACCCTGGCCTCGTCTTAGGTTCGCTGGCGTCCCATCAACACCCTCGCGTAGCGTTCAGTCGGGCCTGTCCCTCTACAGGAGGAACACGCAAAAATAGTCAAAAAGTACCCTGGGGACGATGTTCTGGCTATTGCCCGACCTAAGCGTCATGGCGCCAACATCGCAGAGCGGATTTCGCTCAGAAAACGATAGGGTGCGCCCGGGGTGTCCGGGGAGAGTTTCCTTCCAGATGTCGAGGAGAATTTCGCGCGGATTGTTTTGGGGGCCGGGAAAGAAGACCAAAAAGAATCCACGCGAAATTATTTTCGTTTCTCGCTCGCCGCTTCGGGCAAAACCTACGCAGAAATCCACGCAGAAATCCACGCAAAAATCCACGCAGAAATCCACGCGAAATTCACTTCGTTTCTCGCTCGCCGCTACGGACAGAAATCCGCTGCAGACATGCGCTGCGGCACGTCTGCACGGCCGGTGCAGTGATAAGCGCATAGCGGTCGCGCCGCGCTCCCCGTTCGGTCCCACTCGGGCTGGCCTCCCGGCGCCGGCTGGGGCGGGCCAGAGTTGGGCCGCCTGCGGCCCCGATCTGGTGGGAATATGTACATATATCTATACATACATACATACATACATACATACATACATACATACATACATACATACATACATACATACATACATACATGTATATATATGTGTATATATCGATATGCATATATATATATATACACACATGCATATATGTACATACATGCATCCATACATGCATACATACAAACAAACATATATACATACATATCCATACATACATACATACATACATACATACATACATACATACATACATGCATACATACATACATACATACATACATGCATGCATACATACATACATACATACATACATACATACATACATATACATCTATGTATATATGTATATATATGTGTGTATATACATTCAAACATCGTAAAGAAGTACTCTGGGGACGGTGTTCTGGCTATTTCTGATTGTTGGTGCTCTTTTGGGCTGTTGCGGTTGCGGCGCGCTACCGGTTCGACCCCACTCGTCAGGAGGGGAAAAAACACACACAGACACAATTAATCGTCGACTCCCAGGAAAGCAGGCGAAAATAGGGGACGTGGGGGGGGGGGGGAAGACGAACATCTCCCAAAAAGTATAAACACATTTGGAATTGTGGAATTTGTGATGTTTATTTGCGTTAGGTCGGGCATGTCCCCCTACAGGCGGATTCTGGGTGAAAAATAAAACATACTCCAAGAATATTCAAAAATAGCCAAAAAGCAATCCAACAATCGTCCCCTGACGATTTTTTTACTATCTATTTGCGTGTCCCTGCGCTGGCCTCCCGGGCGCCGACTATGGGAAGTGTGGGGGGGGGGAAGACGATAATCCCCAAAAATATTGAAGAATATAGGGGAATCCTGGGAGTTGTGTGTATCTACTTGCGTGTCCCTGGGCCCCTCCCACTCGGGGGCAACGAGGGGGGGGATAGGCATAGGAGGGGATCCCCCCCTCCCAAGCCAGGCCCCCCCTAGGCCAGTCCACCCCCATGCCAGGTCGATGCATCCCCTCCTGCGCCCCAGACCCCCGACATTGATTTTTTCGCAACGTCGACCCCCAGAACTCTGGACCTCATCCCCAGGACCGGTTTGTCGTCCTGAGTCGTTTTTTGACGGCCTTGAGGCATATGGGAAGGGCCCCCGGAGGCCGAACATGATGAAAAACCTCCCGCCGTGATTTTTTTGTCACAGCGCGAGGAGGTCTGGGGCCAGTCCCTCCCCCCACTGTTGCCCCTCCCCGTAGATCCGACGTTGTGATTTTTTCAATGCGGGGCCCCCGGAAGTCTCGACCCCTTCCCGGGGACTGGTTTTTCATCTTGAGTCGTTTTTTGAAGTCCTTGGGCCCAGCGAGGGCTCCTATAGAGGCCGAAAGTTGAGACAAACCGCCGTCTTGATTTTTTCAATGCGTTGGATCTCTGGGTCACAGCTCGGGCTGGCCTCCCCAGCGCCGGCCGGGGCGGGCCCCGAGCCGGGCCGCCGGGCGGCCCCGAGCCGGCAGGGCGCAGCTTTCGATTCCGCGCCGGCCGGGCCCCGCGAGCCCAGGCCTCCAGCGCCGGGGGGTGGGAGGCCAGGGCCCTGGCCTTCCAGGAGGGCCAGAATAAGTCGGGCGTGCCCCTCTTCAGGGGGGATTTTCGACGAAAGATAAAAAATACCACCAAAATACGCCAAAATGCTAACAAAATACTAAAAGCATAGTCCCTCGAGCCCTCGATTATTGTTTGGCTGTTTTTGAACATTCCCCCTGTTGAGGGAAAGGCCCGACGTTTCAATTCCTGTCTCCATGCTTTGAAACGATGAGATGGGTCTGGGTCTGGAAGGCTATCTTTTAAGCACTCTGGGAGGTCGGGGGGGTTACGTCGGGCGTGTCCCTCTACGGGGGAAAAATCCAAGCAAAGTCCAAAGTTGTGATTGTTCGACCATGGCGTTTACCATTTTTGAATATGCTCTGATTAAATTTAATGTTTCGACCAAAATCCGCCTGTAGGGGTGAAGTCGGGCGTGTCCGTCTACAGGGGGGATATTCAAGCATAGTCAACAACAAATTGTCTGGGGACGATCTCTTGACCATGTTTTTGTTTGAGCATGTGTTGATTTTTCATTTTTCATCCAAACTCCCCCCGTAGGGGGACATGCCCGACCAAAGTCCAGACCTCCAGCTCGGCGGGGAGGCCAGGGGCGAAGTCGGGCGTGTCCCTCTACAGAGGGATCATTCAAACATAGTCAACAAAGCATATTCTGGGGACGATCTTTCGATCATGCTTTTCTGGCTAGGGTTGAATATGTATTGGCTATGTTTAATTTGTCGCCCAAAATACCCCTGTAGGAAGACATGTCCGACCTAATCCCAGACCTCCAGCTCGGCGGGGAGGCCAGGGGCGAAGTCGGGCGTGTTCCTCTACAGAGGGTATATTTGAAACAAGTCAAACAAAACATAGTCTGAGGACGATCTGTCGATCATGTTTTTTTTGGGGGGGGCTATGTTTAGGTATGTTTTGGTTGTGCTCAATTCAGGAGGGAAAACACACACACAGACACAATTCATCGTCGATTCCCCAAAAAACTTAGAAAATATGGGAAGTGGGGGGAGACAATCACCCAGGAAATATGAGAACATATTGGGAATCTTGTTATTTGTGTGTATTAATTTGTGTGTATCCCAGGGCCCCTGCAAACGTCACAGCTGGAGGTTCTCGACAATGCTCGGCCTCGAGACCGTTAAGAAACGACTCGGGAGGAGAAACCAGTCCTGGGTAAGGGGTCCAGGCCTCCTTGGTGTCGACGCTACGAACAGATCATGAAGTCGGGGGTCTGGGTCAGAAGGCTCGGAAGGCCTCTGGCCTTCTGAGAAGTTGTTGAAACCATCTTCGAAGGCTGAGGCGGCTTCTCAAAAGGCGGGGGGGAGTCTGAGAAGCCCCGCCGCCTTTGAGAAGGCGTGCCACCTCTCACTTTACCCCGGGTGCGCCTCCGACCAACGCATTGGACAACAACGGTACGGAGGTGGTTTCGCCGTTTTCGGCACCTGGGGGCCCTCACTGGGTCCCAGTATAGTCAAAAAACGACTCAGGATGGGAAGCAGGTCCTGAGGTAGGGGCCAAGACGTCTGCGGGGGCTGTGTTGAACGAGAACAGTCCAGCGGACGTCTGGGATCCTGAGTCGATTCCACTCGGTGTGACTCACCAGCATCGGCCGTGGCCAGCCAGAGGCGGGCGCGGCGACCCGATGCCGATCCGTGTCGGGACGATTCGTTGGCGATCCGATGCGTTTCCGATCCGATCCGATCTCGCAACATCCGATCCAGCTCAGGCCCGCCTGCTCCTGCGGCGCCCCCTCCCCGGACACCCTGGGCCGAGCCGAGTGAAAGATAGGGGCGGGTGGACCTAGGCCTCATATAGATGGGGTCCGAGTAGATGGGGTCGGAGGATCGCGCCGCATCGACGATGCACCGACGATGCGGCTCGGTGCGGAGCCCGATTTTCTCTACCCCGACGTCGCCGATGCATCGCCGACGTCGCCGATGCATCGCCAGTGTATCGCCGATGCATCGACGATGTATCGCCGATGTGGCGTGATCCTCCGACCCCATCTACTCCGACCCCATCTAGGTCTCTAGTGGAGCCCACGAGGAAGAGGAACATGCATCAACAAGCACTTCCGGAGCTCCGAGCAGACTTCTTGGACCTGCGCCGGACGCCCGCAAGCGCTTGCTTTGTATCCTGAGCGTGTCACCACTACCTTGGCCTCCAGAGCCCGGCCTGGATTCTCGGAGGTCGTCCAATTGAACGCCTCGAGGTAAAGTCAGCCATTGCCCCTGGGAGGGGGCTGGGGCCCACGCGTCGGGAACATCGAGGCTCAGGGCGTCTGGGGCGCGAGGGTCGAGGGTGAAGAGCTTGGGATGCCTGTTGGCCCTCTTCGAGCCTACGGAGACCTCCAGCGGCTTACCTCAAGGGACGTCGTCCGCCTCCTCCCCCTCAACTTGTTCGCTCGCTTTGAGCTCTCGCCGGTGCAAGTGTGGGCCACTTGATGTGGTGCAGTTCCATAATTCAACGCAGCACTCGAAGTGTAGTCGAGACGTGCTCAGGGAGTTCGGCGACATCTCGAAAGGAGGCCTATCGCGTGTGTCTTTGGAGCGCCGCGCGCTAGATAAATCATTGTCTGAGTGACGCGTCCGCGCCGTCGTCAGCTGTGTTCATCATGCCTCGTTTCGTCCTGCGGTCATCCAGTTGGCATGTCGATAGAATTGACAGGACATGTATTAATCTGGTCGTGGTCGTCATCATCGTCTTGATCGTGGTCGTCGTCAGGATCATCATGATCATCAGCAGCATCATTATAACAATCACCACCACGTTACTCGTCCCACACATCCCGAACCCCATTTCATCCTAATCATAATCATCATCAGCATAATCATCATTCTCATCATCATCATCATCATCATCATCATCATCATCATCATCATTATCATCAGCAGCATCAGCATCATGATCATCAACAGCAGCAGCGTTGGCGTCCTTGTCATAATCGGCCTCATCTCAGGACGTGTCGAACATATCATTGTCAAGATCAGAATCACCATCAGCATCATCATCAGCAGCAGCAGCGTCATCGTCATCATCATCATCATCATCATCATCATCATCATCATCATCATCATAATCATCATCGTCATCATCATCGTCGCCGTCATCATCGTCACCGTCATCATCGTCACCATCGTCACCGTCGTCCTCATGGGGCGTGCACTGTTGTTTCTAAGGCACCGGGGGACACACAATGCTGCAACTTCGGAAACCCATCCTAACTCTCCCATCCATTGCACTCTCACCCATCCGCCCATCTAGCCACCCGCCCACGCGCATTCGCTCACACAGCCATTCGCTCGCGCATTCAATCATCCACCCACCCACCCACCCGCCCACTCACCCGCTCACCTACACACTCATTCGAACATCTACACACTCACCCACACGCTCATCCACTCGCTCACCGATCACCCAAAACATCAGACCCCCCCCCGCCACTCGACCAACTCCAAATACTCCTTCACTCTGCACGTCTTCGGAAAATCATCCATCCCCTCCCCCACCATCCACTCGCACCCACTCACTCACTCCCCTTTCTATTTTTGTTCATCACTTAGCTCTTCCATGGTCCCTCCTCTGTCCGTCCCCCCACCTCCCTCTGTCCCTCCTTCTCTTCCTCTCATCCTTTCTTTCCTCCTGGCCCTTCCTTCTGTGTCCCTCCTCTCCTCCCACCCGTTCCCTTCCCTCCGTCGCCCCGTCCCTCCCTGGTCCTCCCCTCCCCCCGCTCCTCCCCGCCCTCGTCCCCATTCCCATCCCGCCCCTCCCTCCCGCCCCCGCCCCGCCCCCGACCCCCTCCCACCCCACCCCTCGCTCCACACACCCTCACTCTCGTTCCTCCCTGCTCCCCCCCCCCCCAGTCCACAAGCCCCTGCTCCCTGTGGCGCCGCCCCCCCCCCACTCCCCTCCCGCGTCCTCCTTGCCAGGACCCATGGCCGGCTTTGCGGCGGCACCAGCCAGCGCCGCCCCCCCTCAGACCGGCTGGGCAGATTTCGGGTCATCCGGTGGCGAGGCGGTGGAGCAAGAAGGAGAGGGGGGATGGGGGAGGGGGGATGGGCGTTTTCGCAAGAGGTATTTGTTTGTCGCCGCCCTGGTGAGGGTTGAGGCCCCTGCTGGTAGCTAGAGCTCAGCGAGAGCTGAACTCCACAGCGGCGTCGCTGACGCCCTGACTGGCCCTGCAGCTGCGGTCGGGCACGTTTGCTCAGCGTGTCGTCCCGCCGGCTTTGGCCCACCACGCTTCGGGGCGAGACGCCAAGCACGTCCAGGTCCCCGAGCGTCAGCGTCCCGAGCCCTTCCCAGCCTCCGCCCCGCGGAGCGGAGCGACACGCCGTCCGCCTGGGGCCCCGACCAGTGGTAGGGAGGGGGCCGGGGACGAGGA